AAACTGGGGTCTATATAGCAGATTTTCTATCACAAAAATATGTCCACCCAAATTCTGAAATGTGTTTCCGATCCGAAAAGATTACTTAAGTAAGGTCGGAATACTAATTATCGTGCGGCTTAATCTGAAGATATGTCAACTGTGTCAATGTGCCGACTTTTGAACAAGCGTCCTTCCGGGAGCCTACAAAAAGTATACTAAAATGCAAAAATGTAGATTATAGAAAACATGCACAGAAAATATGTTTTCCTGTGTACGTTTGACAGCGGAAGACGTCCTATTCAAATGGTATATTTGGAAAAGAGGCATCGCCCTTCTAAAAAGCCTTCTAAATTGCTGAAGTACTTTAAATGAACCGGCCGCTATATTTTAATTCCAGTATTCCCAACTTCATGCTGTATGCATTCTTTTCTGAGGAAAATCACAAACCTATCTACGCTATGAGGAATAGGCCAAATAGCTCTCACAAAAGTTTGCAGTGAATGTGTATCATACCATACACTTTATAGACAACCTAAATCATTTAACAACTACAATGTATTATGACTGGAAGGGTTTAAAAACATAAAAATACCCTTTCCCAAAGGATAAGGTGTAATGAAGGCTTGAGCTTCTATCAAGCGCACATACAACAGTTTTTTATGCAGGAGTTCCATAAAATATACTTGGATTTATATCAGTGTGCAAAGGAAAAAAATATGAACTCATGATATCCGCGGCTGAAGAGATAATTGAGCTTGGAATTCATAGCTTAATCCCCCCTCCCCTGCTATAAAGCCTACGTATGTCTAAAGTCTCACTCTAACTCTGATTTTAACCCCTTAAGCGTAACCCAAACAGCCAAACCTAACTCCAATTCTAATAGGTAAACCTAACCCATGACTTGTAAACCCCCAACAAAATCTTTGGCCCTAGTCTAAACCCTTCTACCCTCCCAATAAGCCTAGGCCGAACGCTGCCCCTAAAGGTAGCAAATAATAGAAACGTGATGAAGGAGGATTAAAAGACAAAGGGGCTTAACATAAGCCTACTAAAATGCAGCAAGTAGGCATTTCACAGGAGTAAAGACTAAGTGGGACCGCATACCCGATCATCACCGACATGAATGCAGTGTTAAATAAACACCAAAAAGTGCAATTACCAAAGAAAATACAGAGGGCGGTCAAAAAGCAATAAATTTATGAGGTCTTACTCAGGTTGATGACGTCTACGAGGATATGAGGTATACGGCTCGAGAATAGGGGCCATCTCGAAGGTCTCGAAAATTTTCCTCCTGCTTGGCGAGGGTTATTTTCTTTGAAGTCAGCTGAATCGTCCGGATCGTACTGAAATGTTGGGGACAGAAAAGGACAAGTTAACTCATTACACGATAGTCAGCGACGCACAGACAAATGCTTTCACGCTAATAATTAGTAATGTTTCCGTCAAAAATTTAACAAGTGGACACATATAAAAAACAAAAGGTAATTTTTGACAGTAAAGACAACCAACAGTGTGACAAATGGGACTTTGAACGAAAGAGAAAACGAAGATGCATAATTAATTTTCCCATTTAAATGGCATCATGAGCATTTTTAAGTTATACCACAATTTTTTTTCCCGGAGAGTCTCAGTGAGAACCTACAAGATATAGTTTTCTCTTTGTTGTCGGTTCTATTATTTTGAAACCTAATCATTGCTAGATCTGAATAACACTATTCGTTGCTGACGGGCAGCTTCTCTAAACATCCCCTTATTCGGTACCCCCGAAAAAAGTACCTCTATTACTAGAAAGCAACCACTTCAGATTAAAAATAAGTAGTTTCATTAAAGTTGCTGTACGTTGCTGTCTTCGCAGTATACATAGCACCGTAGAGGTATTGGCTCTTTGAGCCAAAAAATAGCTCTGCTATGTTCGGACAAGGCTATGAAAATTTGTTTTTCTTTTCTGACGTTTCCTCCAATAATGAGGATCAAAACTGTATGCAAACGGCTTGCCTGTCGGTAAGGAAACCAAATAGACGACACTGTGTTTAGTACTCCAGCATCTGTTGCCCTCGGAGAAGTACTAATAAATCGGGACTAATACTGCACTTCTGTTTTCTAGTACACGAATATAGAGAAGTTCTTTGTGAAGGCCTTTGCACTACTGTACTACTTCCGTACTTTTGATTGCTCGTGCACGAATGTGGAGGTCTTTGTAAACAATAATGCATCTCCAGCATTACGAATCACGCGCTCGTAAGTCGGCTGCGATTGTTACTGGAAGTCACCTTGAAACAGCAAGGCAGGGTGTGATGACACGACAGACAAGAAGACTTCACGAAAAACGACTTATTTTCAAAATTATGCAGTACACTATAAGGATGATGACTAAAGACAAAAGAGTTGCACCAAGAAGCTATTTTTGTGGAATTCAACGGGCTAAAAATGCGATTCACAGAGCAATTTTAGGGACTAGAAAATTACCTTCCGAAATTGAATTTACGCTTATTAAATTTAGGCCAAAAGTGAAGTAACGGTAGCAGATTCTTAGAGGAAACTTTTCTGCTTCAGCCACCTTTTCGCCTAATAATAAACATGTATGAGCGAATTTGCATATTGCAAACCGGCGTAAACCACTGTATGCAAACTATATCAAATCTTTTGCTGTTACACAGCTTCTGCTTGTCCGATCTGGATTTTGATCAATGAGCCTCACAAATATATCTAATTTGATTACCTAAATGTCAGGAGCACTGCATCAAATCGATCGGACAAATCCTTCGCGTATATGCAGCCAAAACGCAGTTTGGTTGGAAATAGCCACTAAACAAACGTGCGGTATATGCACGTGCGTATGTTATGTATCGTTGGTTACCATGAGTACGCCTGCGAGGCTGTACGCGATTCAACCTCTGACAGAAACCAAAGGTATGCAGTTTGTCCTTTACTTAGCGCATTTGCGCTTCTTGCCCACGTAGAAAATAGTCAGTAGCTGCTTTCATGGAACGGTAACCAAACTTCAGAAACGCGTTTTCAATTAGGAAGGATTTTTCATGTGAGGAATATTTCCGTAATATTTTAGGCCTATCGGAATTTTAGATTTTGACTACATTTATTTTTAGTCACCCGCAAAAACACTACTTATATAATATGAAGTTTTCCCTAGTGATGTGTTATGTTAGAAGAGAAAACGAGAGTTCCAGGAAGCAGTTCAGAAGTAGAAAATTCAATCACTGGAACAAGAATTTTCTTTGCCTGACGTTTCGGATTCTGTCGAGAACCCTTATTCATAGGTAACCGTAGAATAGGATGATATATGCACACATCGCGCAGTATTTATAGCTTGTAGTGACCACGCTTACTGTTAATTATAGTACGCATGCGGTCGTGTGGCCACTACGAACTATAAATGCTGCGTGATCTGGGCATTATCACTCTATTCTAGAGTTAACCATGATTAAGGACTCTCGAAAGTAATCAAAACGTCAGGCGAATAAACTTCTTATTCCAGCGATAGCATCTTTGGATGTGTCTTGTAAATTTAAATATAATAAATAGTCAAGAGATATAAACATCCTTTTGCTACTACCTTGGAAGAAGATAACTTCTTCGCCGAATGTCACTCAAAGGAAGGACATATTTATGTTTTTAAAAGATTTTAAAATTCAACCATAATTTGGAGCCCGATATGCCGCTTCATTTGCGTTTAACGTCTCCAGTCTACAAGTAGTGTGTTTTCAACCCAGTTAAAATCACACATTGCTCTGTACCATTAGGCAGTTAGCGTATGACAACGCAATGGCAATGAGGGTTGCAGAATTTAATGACTTCATACAAAAAGGTCACAAATTGTGTGACGTCATTGAATTCTGCAAACCCTTATGCCTTTGCGTTGTTCAACTTAGTTCCAGAAAAAAATCAATGCTACAGTTTTCGTTTAGTCTTCAAGAAGTTAATAACGGATAAGAAATATACTGAATATTTCATGAAGAATATTCATAAACGTAAATACACGATGTTATCTGAAAAGACATCGTACGAGCTTAAATATCACGCGATTATAACGTTTGTCAAAATAGAAAAATTGCCTTTCTTCCAGTAAATATTTTGAAGAAAACGTGCTTGGATAATTAATCAATATAAAAAAAGGTTTTCTGGGAAATGTACATGCATTCATAAGGATACACGCAATCAATAAAGAAGATACTGACTACATTTGCAGTTTTTTTGCCGGGTGAAGTTTTTGTAGGCGATCAAGGCGAAATGCATTCAAAGCTCGCCATCCTGGCGAGTCTGGAATAGTGCTTAAACAACTCATAGACCCCACTTAAGTACACCTGGTTAATCAAAAATGTAGTTCAGTATTTCGCTTACGGTTTCCTGATATCGGCTAATGACTGTGAATTAGCGTATTACAGTAAAATCTGTAATTGTCAGCGTTGCTGACGAAAGTGAGTTGACACTCAAAGTTTGCCCAACAGTACTTGTCCAGTTCATTGGACAGGATGACTTATTGAGATCAAAGAGTATGCGGACGGAAAAACCGTCAGTTAGGTTGTCCTTCCGGAGGGATAGCAAGACAAATAACAATCTGGATTCATTGGACAATTCTTCAGTTAACGCGAGTACCTTGCACTTACTTCGGGTGAATTAGGTGGCGTGCATTTGACATATCTTTCCTTGCTCAAATTCCTTAAACGATCACCTTTCAATCATGCTTTCCCATTTTGGGAAAATGAACTCCTATTGTTCTATAGAGACTAGCTGTAATACAACCAATAAGACATAATTGATAAATCCGTCTTTTCATTTATCCATGCAGAATAGCAAAGCTAATATAAGCGAAACGCACTAGGATTGACGCTTAATTCTACTTTAAGGCACTTTTCTAGTATTATTTATCTTTAAAAAAGAGACATCTAACGGCATTCTCCGGTTCGTCTATGATAACTTACGACATAAACTCAGTGAGGATAAGTTTTAAACAAAGCTCGAATTAACTGAGGTGCACCTAGTCCCTATGTTCTGCAAAGACCTCATTTCGTTTTCTTAAACAAAACGCGCATCAGTGTGTAAGGGCAAAATAACTTCACGTTTACCATCAGAATGCAACGCTTCGCATCTATCCTAGACTGCTCCTCAGAATATGGCAGTCCCAGGCTTGGAAACCGTTCATAGGACTCATAGGCAGTCTCCACTAGTCGCAAAATACTGGGCGACGGCCTTGGGATAGCGGCAAATCTTCCTGTTTTCATTCGTGGAAAGGTTGCGTTCGCGATTCCGCCATTGCTAGCAAAGTCTGAGGGTGGATGCTGATGCTCTCTAAGGTAGAAGTTTGCTGTTTGGAGATCGTATTCCGAGGCGGCTCTGGAAATTTGTGTTGGTGGATCTGAACTCGCTGTGGACGCGCTTTCAGACTGGGCATCGCTGTCAGCAGACAAGGTAGTGGATTTGTCAGGTACTGATTGCTGGGCGGCGAGGTTTGAGGTCGACTCTGGGCATATTGTGCTTTCCAGATGGGCTGTGATAGGAGAACAGACAGATTGTTCGGCCGGAAAAGCTCTCACAGAACTGTTTTCTGGCTTTATCTGTCCGTGGTTCCTGCCATCTGAGCTTTGTAGTGGAACTTCAGAGCTCTCAGCAACTCCGTTTCTTGTGCTATCTAATATATGTGCGTCCGTTTGACCAGTAGTGGGGCCACTTTTTGCGAGGTTTTGGGACTCTTGCCTGGGTGAAAGGATTATATCATCTTTGGTAAAGCTAGGAAGGCCATTGTTTTCAACATTTGTAGGGGGTTTCGCGAAGGTAGGCGAACACTCAACTTTATTCACGAGCACGCCCGTGGTACCCGTATCTCCCATGGAATTGACACTGTTGAGGCCTTCGTCGTCAGGCTGGACAATCTTGTTGTTTCCTTGGAACGAGCTGGGCTCCGAGAAAAGCTCACGGTCAGATATTTCATCAACTGTCTGTTCATCCTCTGAATCTGGTGTCAAGGAAGTATACGAGTTGGGATTCATGATGCAGGGCGTCTTCTGTTCAGAAACACCTGGATATTTCTCACCGCTTGCCTGACAGTCCGGGGAGTTTTCCAGCCCCTGGAAGCAAGAAGCCGGCTTTCCATCTTGGTGGGGATCGATTTGTTGGTTGCTGTCAGTAAAAGCGTCAGGCTCGCGATCGTTTTTTATTGGGGAAATAGCTGTCGCTACGGCTGGTGCTGTTTGAAATTGCTGCTGTGCTCTAACGGGAGGTATAATTACTGGCTGTATGAAGGGCTCCCCGTTGGAAGTGCTGTTGGAAGACTTTTTGGTAACGCCTGGCAGGACGCCATTTTTGGCCACTTCGCTGAATGGGGGAGGCGCGAAGACTTCATGGTGGTAAGACTTTACAACATGGGGCTGGTCCCAGTCAGCGTCGGCGTAGTTAAATTCACCGGCCGCGTCTGGAAAATGGGTTTCCTGAAGGCCGGTCACTCCGCTGAACGGGCTCTGAGCTTGGTTAACACTAGTCTGCGGGAAGTCAGCAACACTGCCCTCCGGAGTGGAAGAGGTCTGCAGAGGGTAAATAGAATCCAGTTCCTTTGTCGACAGAAGATGGGGATAGAGTTTGAACATTTCATGCCTAGCATCTGGCTCAGGTACTGCGTTCTTGCCGCCTTGTGTCGGATAGATGAGGGAAGATTTGCCTGTGCTGGTGTCGAATTTAGGCGAAGAAAAGGAGGATGAATTGACGGATCGACTGCTCAGTGTAGGGGACACACAGAACTCATTTACTTCACTAGACGAGAGACTGTAATTGCTCAGTATGCCTGAATCCGTCCGTGCCTTCCTGCGAACGTACGTTGAGGAAACCTGAGAGGTCTTCGAGGAGGATTCTGCTACGGGGTAAGTGACCACAAAGAGAGTCTGGGTAATTGGCATTCCAGCCCTCGTTTCTGTTTGATGACACGTTGCCGTCAGCTGGACCTGCATCTCCGTAGGGTTTACACCGTTAGCCTTCGATTCGACAGGTTCTTTCGCTGGGTCCGCACCAGTGTGGAGCATCTCGGCTGAAAAGGTAGCCAAAGCACCAATGGTGCTACCCAGCTTCTCTTCGGCCTCCCTCTTTTTTGGTTTCTGCTTTCGCCGGAGTGATTTGAAAAGGTCGGAAATTGTTCGTTGTCTTTTCTTTTTTGGTGGTTCTGAGCCGGGAGGGGTGGAGAAATTTTCGGCGGAGCGTACACTGGGACGAGCAAAGAGT